CATATCATATTTCCTTGTTACCAATTACTGAGATTCCTAGATGCCTGTTTTTATGGGTTACTAATTTTGGTAATTTTGGTTTTGCTATCTGTTTCTGTTGATTTAGCTTATATGGGATCGAGCTCTCGGGCTACCTCTGGAGAGGCCAAAGAGTGTTACCATGGAATGGCTTGAAAATCACTGCAAAAAAACAGCTTCGTCTTGAAGTTCCACAAAGATATAGGTCGCCTTGAAAGGATTTCGAAATAATAAATAGCCTGAGAAAAACAATTATTATTATTTTTTTCTGCGGAGTAATTTGAGGTTGTGGCATCAGGGTGTTTCCGGTAAACAGCTTTATTTCTTTGACTGTGATTCATATTTACCCAAAATATTTGGGTGCAAATTAAATTTTTAGTGTGCAATTGTTCATACAATGATTGTCTTCAATGAACTTTTATCTTGCACCGTTGAAGGGTAGTTGCAGAATGAACAATAATTGGCGCTTCATACCCTGCCTACATGCATCGAGCAATAGCATGTGAAAGTTGAGCCTGAAAAATTAGAAGAAAAAGTCATACAAATCCACTATTTTGTTTTTGTATTTTTTTATCTTGCATATAATGCCCATTTATAGGGAAATAATTTTTCATAATAATTTTCATGAAATTAAATAAAAATAAAAAACTTGCAAAAGGAAATAATTAAATGAAGCATCTAGTAAAAGCCTTGTAATAAGGCTAGCGGTTAAACCGTCGTCCTACGTTTTCAAGATATGTAGCTAATAAAAGCATTGTAGTAAAGCTAAGGCTAAGATTATGTTTGATAACCAAATAAGTTAGTTTATAGTTTATTTGATTAGTTTAGAAGCTATTTGTATGCAAATAAGTTGCATTTGGTAGGACGAGTTTTTTATAAAGCTTGAGTTTATCTCATAAGTTTCTTTTGATAGTTTTTCAAATAAGCTCGTTAAAATTTTTATTTCACTCAGCTTATGAGTTAATATTACCAAATACTTTTATCATATATAAGCAAGATTTTTAACTTAAGTTATAAGTTATAAGCTCAAAAATTATTTATATATTATTAGTAGTTTTAACAAAACATAATCTAAGACTATAAATACCTTTTCAAAAAAATATGAATACTTTTAAATTTAAATATCATACTTTACAAAACAACAAAATATGAATACTCTTAAATACAATGCTTATAAAAATATAACAAAGTAAGAGACGACTAACTATCAAAAGTTCAAAACAGCCACACATCAAATATCCTACCAAAAATATTTCATTTTATATTTTTATTTTTCTTCTTTCCTCCACAATCCACATTGCACAGCACCAGTATGGCCTCACTGACTACTTGTACACCTGCGCCGCACTCAATCGCCGCACTCCGCCGCCGTCCTTCAGCCGGAGTTCACTCCCAATCCAGCGCCTTCACAACTCCGGCCACCCATAATGTACAAGCTCGTCAAAATTTCAGGTACATTTTTACATAACTTTTCTTATATTCACCCTCCAAATTAAGGCAGCGTCTGTCTCGTCCATGGAATTGTGCGATTGTTCCATTAGACTGCAAATTAGAAGTTTAAGAGCTCCAATTTTCTAAATTTTTGCTAAGTAGTGATCTTTTTTGGTCTCTGTTCAATTTGTTCTTTTTTTACAATGGTTACAGAGAAGTGTTTGTATCTGGCCTTTGATTTTGATTTTTCTTTTCCTTTTTCTTCTGAGCAATTGAGCTAAAAATAGTTTAATTGCGTTTGAGAAATGAAAAATGAGGTACTTCTAAGCTCGAACGACCTTTACTCTGGCATGAATGAATCGAGTTTGAGTAGCTTGATACTTTTAAACCTTTCATATTATTATGTTACTTATAAATCTAGCTAAAAACTGTGTCCATTTTTGCTTAATTGTGTTCACAAATCAAGCTCGAACGAACTTAGCCGCGTGTAAAGAGTAATTTGGAGCATCGTAAGGCTCTTCTAAATTCCGAACATATTAGTGAATATGATTCTATGAGATGAATTGTGCCTGATAAACGTTATATCTATGCATACATTTCCAACTTTCTTCATTCTATCTACTTCCTTTGTTTCTATTTGTTTCAAACTGTGTCACATGATTAATGATTTTGGAAAGTATGTTGCAGCATATGAGATTTAGACGCTGTAAGATTGAAATGTTGGGTCATAATTTTTTAAGCATCATTTTGAATGAACTGAAATTGTCTTAGTTAAAAAGCTTGTGCAAGATATGATGCCTTTATTTTGACTAAACCGGATGAGTTTTTGGGATTGGTTCCTTCAGGTTAAAAAGGGAAGAAATTGTTGTGCTAGTGAAGAAGAACAGGTTTGGTCTCGTTTTCGCATCGAATACGAATCCTTCACAGGAATCGAACGACACAAAAGCGAGCAGTGATGCTTCGGGACCTCCTTTCCTCACGATTTTGGCTGGCGTGTTAGTTTTCTTGTTCGTATGTTGGATCATGGGATCCATTGTAATGTGGATTTTTGGCTTGATAGTTAATCCACCTCCCTTGAAATGAAACCAAAGGTCAATTATGTTTGTAGGCTTAGTTTGTTCGAACTCGATTATTGAATACTGCTCATCACTTTTTGTTCCGTTATCGCATATTGTAGTGATAGGTGATTGCTTTAGATCTTTCTTGGCATCAATTGCATATGAAAATATGTAATTATCTTGCAATGGCTACAATCGTTTATTAAACGAAACAAGCCGGTCGTCAGCTCGGTTGGGCTCATTTGATAAAACGAGTCAAGTTCAAGCTTGAATGAATGTCAATTTATTTATGATGAATGAATGTTTAATCAAGCCATTTGTATCATCCAGATAAAACGAGTCAAGTTCAAGCTTGAATGAATGTCAATTTATTTATGATGAATGAATGTTTAATCAAGCCATTTGTATCATCCAATTTTATATTTTCGTATTATAAATTGATTGCTTAGATTTAGTCTTGATATTATTTATAGTCCAAACTAAAATAAAATTCAGATATGATAGAAGTCTGCAAACTGTATTATATAGATACAACACTAATGTTAGACAACTTATTCATACACTTTTGATGAGAATTTATATTTTCATATTGAAATGTCATACTCAGAGCCGGCTTTTGGGGAGCAGGGTGAGCAACTGCACAGGGCCCCCAATTAATTGGGGCCCCATATATAAATATTAAAATATTATATATATATATATAATAATATAAATAAAAAATATAATAATATATTAAATGACATTCATGTTAGAACATTAATCTTGTTTTTGTTGTATTTTGTGGGTACGAGGACATCTTGTTTTAGTTGTATCGTTAAATATTTGTATTTTATTAATAAAATATTAAAAATATATTATTCAATATTGTAATTAGGGGGGCCTAATTTTATTTTTCGCTCTGGGCCCAAAAAATGTTGGAGACAGCCCTGGTCATACTGTAATAGTAATTGTGATATTTTATAGTAAAGTAATGCATTTTAGTTAGAAAAAAATAGATAAATTATGCTATTAAGCTTTTCTAATAGTTAAACACTCATATATTTTCAATAAAATGCATGCTTATGCTATTGTTTTTCAAAATATAACATTTTTGTCTAAGAATGTGTATGCATGTCTAATTATTAAACAACTAGTACCATCATTAATAAAAGAAATTACGCCTACTTAATGGCTTCACCAACTACAGCATTGTGTAAATAGCACAACAAAAATGACTGCAATTTCATAAATGTAATGCGCCAAATTTGACTAACCCTTAAAGGCTAATCAATGCTCTTTTCCTCTTTTTTGCCCTTTGGCGCTCCACACACTCTCTCTCTAAGAATTATCCTAATCCCCAGGCCATATTCAGGTGCTCGAAGATCTGGAAAACGGTAGCCATGGAGATAACAATCCCATCACTCTTTGCAGGTTAGCTACAATTTGCTTTAGTCTTCGTTATTCACCTGTTCATTTGCACATGAATTAGTTCGTTAATCTTTTACTTTCGATTCTGAATCTCAGATCCCCAAATGTCTGCGCACACCCAGAATCCCTTATTTCAATTTCGGGCTTCAAAAAGCCCCAATCTTTGTTGATTTGAGGTTCGATTCACCTATCTCGCTACTTAACTCACCTCAATAAGTTCAATTGTTGGTAGGATACTTGTTGTTTCAATTTCGGGCTTGAGAAGTCCCAATCTTTGTTGATTCGAGGTTCGATTTACCTACCTACTCCCTTGACCCACCTCAAGAAGTTCGAATTTCGGTTTGGTAAGTGTTCTGCAACCGATCGGTAGTGGAATTTTTGGGTGAAATAAATTTTGGGTTTTAAGTACCGTTTACCTACCATGGATGACGATGATTTCATGGAGGTGAACCTAACGGGTCTCGATTTGAACCAAGAACCGTCCAATCAGCCCTTGCACCGGGTCCCCAGATACGGGTCTCTTCTGAACGAGCTCGAAACTGCCCACGACCAGATAGAGGAGAGAATTCGCCAGCTGGAGGCTGTCACTGCCCGAGCCAGACAGCGCCAGAGGTGGCGACAGTCGAGAAACTCCACGGAGATTAGCGGGCCCACGGCTGATCTGAGCCCCAGAAGCCTCGTCCCTAACAACAATGGCGGCCCGTCAGGAAGTAGCACCCCAGGAAAAGGTTGCAAAAGGGACAGCTCTCATCTGGTGGCTAAAGCTCTCGAAATGGATGTAGACGTGAAGAAGTCCGATAAAGAAGGTGGAAGCTTTTACGACTGCAGTATATGCCTGGACTTAGCTCAAGAGCCCGTCCTCACGTGCTGTGGCCATTTATTCTGCTGGCCGTGTTTCTACCAAGTGTCGAGTGTAGATTCGTCGGATTCTAAAGAATGCCCCGTCTGTAAAGGGGAAGTATCAGACACCACCGTAATCCCGATTTATGGCAATGGAGACGGTGAAAATGTCTGCGTGACTGAATCGGGCCTGCAGATACCTCCGAGGCCCAAGGCCCGTCGGGTGGAGAGCGTGAGGCAACAGCGGGTAACTCAGGGCTTATCTCACGTGCCAGTTGCTGAGGCGCTTAGAAGGATTAGGATTAGTATTGGTGCAATGGGGAGTCACACGGCCCAGCAGCAAGCGGGTGGTGGGGACCACCGGATAAGAATCCATCAAGTCTCTCGAGTTTTATCAGAAAGTGCCGCATCTCTGTCTTCACTGTCTTCAGCTCTCAGTAATGCGGAGAGGTTAGTGGAAGACCTCGAGTCGGTTATTAATAACCGGGTTTTGAGAGGCGAGGCATCTGTTGATGCCGGTATTCTTGCTGCTAGGCCTGATGGGAGGATGGGTGATGTGGGTCCACCACCCGCTTCGTCTTCTTCTTCTTCGGGTGCTGTTGTTCGGAGAAGGAGCATTGTGTTCCCTCGGGATCCTCGCGAACCTAGAAGAAGAAGGTTGAACTGAAATGGGGTTCGAGGAAGAGAAGGTAATCTGTTTTAAATTCGGGAACTCTTGTTTATTTTCTGTTGCGTGTGTTGATTTGCGATTTTTAGTGTTTCTAAGCTTTTCATGTTGGTCGCTAGATTTGTTGTATGAGACGATATTCTTTGAGAGACAAAAAGATATACAAATCATGTTGCTTGTTATGTTATGTGACCCTGTCAGCCTTGGTGTGTTCATTTTACGTTTGGGATGTGTATGATGTGGTAAGTGCTGACTTTTTTATTTTATTCTTAATTAAATGTGTGGGTATGGATGCTAGGTATGATTTGGTGGGGTTTGTGTTGTGTACGGTTATGAAAGTTGTTTGGCCTAGTTACATTTTTCGGATTGCTTCCTTTTTATTTGTCTTTGTGATCTTGTGTAAGTAACATAATTCTCGTTTCTTGTGTTACGAGGATTGTGTTGTTTGGATTTTGTGGTTAGTGGCTTTTACTGGTTTGATTTTGGAGATTGACCATGATAGAGCAAACTGTGAAGTTTTGGAGAATACAGCGTTGACACTTAGATATGTATGGAATAAAGGGTCTAATTTCTCTTGGGTTATTTTGATTCTTGTACTCAACTTGCATCTGTACATTCTTTCGGTATGCCATTGATAACTCGTGTACGAATTACAATGATTTTCTACTTTAACAACAGATGTCTCGAAAAATATGTTTGTTCTGTTTTGTCTGGGTGGACCTTGTTTTGAAAGGATGTTTAGGATATATTGTGAAACTGATTTCTTATGTATATCAAGAATAATCAAAGTTATCATCTGTTGCACCTTCTGAAAGAACTTTATTAGTTTATGAACATACAAAATACAGGGCAAGCTGGCGTTGATTGCTTACTCTTTGACTTGTGGACTCTAAAATCTATTATTTAAATCTATTACTGAAAATTCATTGGGGTTGATATTCAGATTAATGTTATACATGATTTCAGCTACTTTTTTTATATTGTTTGTTGAAGTTAAATTTGTTTTTTTTTTTTTTAACNCCATTATAGAAATTTGTTTTATGTTTTTAACGCTAATAATAGTAATAGACTGAATTAAATTTATATTTTTGACACTACTAGATATCAGTAGTAGTAATGATAATAGTAGACTAAAATTGCAAAATTAAATGTATTTTTTCAACAATAATTTGTCTAATCTATGATGCTTTTTACTACACAATGTGATTGACCAGGCTTAATGCCTGGTTGTCTGTAATGGATAAAATAAACATTTGATTCCGCCTGGCTCATATTTAGACTTAATCTTGCACAGTCTGGGGCTTTGTTATACAGTCTTTTTAACCAGACAATTTTGTTGTGTATATACAAAATTGGTTTCATGCACTATCCACTTTCCTTGAAAGAATGTTTGCATCTCTTTCCCTAGGAATTCTCTCCCATTATCTGATTCACCTTTTTAACAATTGATTTTGAAAACTATGATGAAAAGTGAGATTGTATTGGTAATTGAAATGCGTTAGTACTTAGTTCATGAGTTCCAAGCCAAAATATACATACAATTCAGTACTAAAAAAAAAACATTACTATTCGCAGAAGCATATATAAGTACTCTATTCTCCATTTCCGTATCAAGTACTCCTTTGTTGTTCATAATATGTGCCGTTTTATAGTTAAGATTTTTTTCAATAAGAACCCTCTTTAATGAAATTAATAATGTGAAAATTAAGAGTAGATATGAAAAGACTTAGTGTAGTTATTAGCTAAATGATGGTAATAATGGAAAAATATGTACAAAATATTCAAAACGTTATTTATATGGTTAATCTATATATATATATAATTACTAGCTCAAAACATTTAATAAAACCTATTTAATTTTACCTATGTGGCAATTTAACAATTTTTCCTCCAAAAACCGTTACATTTTGATGTATTTAATTTTTCATTTAATCATTAAATAATTAATACTCATCACTTCAAAATTACAAAAATTATTTTAAATTTTTTATTACTGACAGTTGACCATATAATGTGTTGACCGTATAATGTGATTAGATGTTATTATTGTTGTTATATTTAATTTTTTTTTAAAGAAAAAATATATTTAAATTTCTTAAATAAATAATAAATAATTCACAAATAAAAGACGTACCAAAATATACATTACATCCAATCAAATAAATGCAATTTAAAAAAAAATATTCCAACTCTTTTAATTGTAAATTTGGTCTGCAAAAAAGTGAAAGAAAAATAATTAATCATTATAATGCATACAGACTCACAATAATTTATTTATATCTGTGCAAATGCACAAGTCGAATACTAGTGGTTGATAAAGTCAAAATGACATTTAAAAAGAATAGGAGGGAGTACTATTTTTCTCCTCTCTTTACGACATCGAATTTGACATTAATTGAGATTTCCGAGACTTGATAATCTATTTTGCACATATATAACTAAATAACCAAGTCAAAAGACTAGCTTATATGTACAATTTTTTTCTTCAAAGGGTGGACAAGAAACTCATGGTGTGTTTAGATACAAGTATATTCGCTCAAAATGACTTTTTTTTATTAATCATGATTAATTTTAAAAAATGTGACATGATTAGTTAGTGAAATTTTGAATTTATATAAAATAATATTAAAATAAAAAATTTAAAGTTGATTTGATGTAAAAGTATGAGAAAAAAGATGTCAAGTGGTGGTTAGTTAAAATTGTGTGGGTTAATAAATAGTGAATAAAAGTTGATCATGTGATGTATAAGAATGATTGATTGATATTATTTAATTATATTGATGATATTGAAGATAGTGAGCTTAGATTAAAATTGAATTAAATTTTGAATATAAATTAAGTTATTTTATATACAAACACACCCTCAGCCTTTTGCTACATACTCTATTCATTTAAAGGGAAAAAATTAAAGAAAAGGAAAGCAGTTTCATGAAGCTTATTGGTTAATTACAAAGTAATATTTATAATAATTTAACTAGCAGTATAACTTTGCTATTTATTTTCTTGTTTGGCTAAGTCCAATGACAATGTTGAATCTCTGATAACTGGAAAAAATAAAAATAAAATCTCTGATAATTGGAATAGAAATTTATAATTAATTGTTGAAT